GAATGAGGAAAGACTGTATTGCTTGCTCTATCTACTGTGGAGGAAAGCTCTCTACTTATAGTCCCTAGACTATTGCTTACTAATTATACTAACTCAACGAAGCAGGAGCAAACAGAGCAAATGCATGCAGTCGCGTGACCATCATAACTGGAGCTGTGCACTGTAGCTATGTGGGTCTAGGCACAACACTTTTACAAGCCGCTCCCCATAGTCAGCTAGATTTTAGACCTGATCCTAGGCAAGAACAAAAATTGGGAACCAATGTAGCTTATTATCATTGTAAAGAATTAGGACAGACTAAATCCAAATGTCCTAGTAGGATTTCTAATAATAGGCACACAATAGTCCAAGTAATTGTGACGCTCCAACATTTTTAGTGGCCAAGTGGCCATTGGTCCAATAGTTGGTAAGCCTACACAGGCTCAATCCAGGGATTTCAACAACTAGTTTCACACACACGAGCCTTGAGCATGACAAATCACAATACAAAATTTTTGTCATGGATATTGGTTTTCATGCAAAACCCTTAGTGTTGGAAATTATACTCTTTACAATGTTATATGGATATGTATAATGAAGTAAAGAAGACTTGATATTTTACAACTATGGGAACATTGGACTTATACATCTAAGGGAGAAATTCCCGCTAGTCTCATGTGCCTGTCAAACTTAGTGATGACCAGCCACCTCTCATCTACCATGATGAGCCAAGGTACACTGGATTACGTAAATATCCAAACGTATATGCAACAGTAGGCGTGATAAGCGCACTCGGGAGATGTGTAGAGAGAATCATTCTTGTCGGGAACCTGATACAAAACAGATAATGGTTGAGTCCTAAATTCGAGAGTTAGAATTTCCAACACTTGGGTTGTAGACAATGACTGACAGGTTTCGTATTGGCAACTTTATTCGAACAGTTGAACTCCTATGTACATATATACAGATTCATATCCTCATAGGTACTTTTTTCTTAATTTAGAATTTTATGATTTGAGTCCAAGCTAGCTTTTGAACACTCGCCAATTGTCTTTTGACCCTCGAGTTTCCACAAGAAGGTTCACAGAGAATATTCTAAGCTCCGCGGCTTCCTAGACCTTTCCCGAAGATTACCTTTTGGTCATTGCCTGCGCTAGCCAGCTTAAACTTCAGGAATCCTTGGGCTCATCGACCATTACAGTTAACAGCACTCAGACGGGCGCAGTGTTGTGAATATCATCAATCTGATCTAGAAGAGTCAGCTAGCGGCAGATGCGTGGTGCCCGGCAAGTCTCATACATGGGATGTCCTGCCACCACGCAACAACAAGCAACACAACGGAGTTAAGGAGCCATCTCCAAGGAGTGCCTCGTATCAGAAGTATCATATCATGAGGATTCATCTTTACTCGGCTGATACATGGTCAGTGGGTGATGCAACTGAGTCAAGGAGCTACCACTAGGGAACATAGTATCTCCGGGGTTCTGTGTCATGAATATACGTCTAGGATGTAGTGGCACATAATTGATGAGGGATACGGATGAGTCAAGGAACTCTCTGTCAGAATTAGAGAAGGACTGGTGTGGTCATGTAGAATGAGGACAAGCGAGGGAGATATGTGTATAACAGAGTAATAACTCTGCAAGTAGATATTATCAATCAACCATTCTAAACTCTCATCTACTACAGTCCCAACTCCCCTACAGATAGACCCCAACAGCTCACCAGCTTGCACACCAGCTTGATCAACCAATAGTACAGGTATATCTCCATCCACTCATAGCCCAGTTTCATAACACGCAGGAATGATTGTTTCGGGCATGGCAAAACAGATTGCAAGGTAGCTGAGTGGTAGAGCGAGCGTCAGGAGCAAACACTATAACAGGAGTCCATACTCCCCATATCGGTAAAAGGATCATATTTGGGCAGTATGAATTTTTCTGAGTAATTGCGGTATTCAGGTTGTTGTTAGGACACTGACGGGGATTTGACATAGCTCATTAGCGAGGCGCTTGGACTAAAGGAAGAAAGGGTAGATGAAAAGAACAAGAGAGAGACAAAGTTTTATGGATTTCGAGATACCAATTAATTGACTTTATTCACCAACTTTGTGTTGGACAGCTGACTTTGTGACGGCACCCAATTTATATTACTTCGTGTTTTACCAAAACTCCACTAGCACACCTGTCCGCTTTTAAGAATAGATGTTGGCCACAAATCAATGATTCAATATACTCCACCACTGTCAAGAGTACGAGAGGGAATTGCATTCCGAGGGTTCAAGGGTCCAAGAGTTCGATAGTTCAAGAGTTCGACGTAAAGCAAGATTCAATAATTTCTGAAGAGTTCCTGAGAGTACAAGACCATAATCTGCCGATCACAAGTTACCCAGAATGCCTACTAAATATTCTTCTCTATTGTTCTCGAACTTTCTTGTGTACTCTCATATAGAATGGAACAGAGTAGAAGAGAATAAGGTAGCGAGATCAGATCAGAACGCAACGCAACTCAACGCAACAGAAAAGAATAGACTAAGACAGATCATAACAGAATGTAGCAGAATAGAACAGAAATTTTGGACATGATTCCATCGACTCAGAAAAGGCTCTTGGTTCGTGACAACCACGTCAATTTTTCACTTGCCTCGAAATCAATGCCCACCTAAGTCTCATCAACCCTACAAGTACGACCGAGTACACCCTCATTCCAATGGCCACACTTCTCGTCAACTATTCTCTGACCTCAGCTCGTCACTAAATACACGCCCACGCCAATATTTACACCCGACAGAGGAAGAAAAGCGTCGCGCACATATCTAGGATACAGCTCTTTGGGAAGGACGTGAGAGGGACCGAGGAAAGTTCACAAGATGATGCAGAGAATTTATACAGTCTTGACAGGCGTGAATATTCGAATTTTGGCAAGGAGTTTTGCAAATTGATCTTTTTGCGTGCAAAGACTTCAATGACAAGTGTATAGCTGACACTATAAACACAAGCTACCGATGGAAGGCGTCGTGGTCAGCTTTCTAGTAGTGTTCCCTGTGTAACGGCTGGTAAGCCGATTGGTCCCTGTAGCCTATGTTGGTTAACTTAGGCCTGATTCGAGTGGCGTTATTGATGGCTACCAATGCGCTAATATGCGACGCCACCCAATACAATACTTTTGCGTCGGCATTTGCATGGTATTCACATGGCATCGGACTCGGCAGTGCGGCACGGCAGTACGGCACGGCAGTACGGCACTGCACCACATGTTGATAGGCTTACACTGACTGGGAATATACGAGACCGAGTACAATCCTTCCGGACCATAACGCAATAGTGATGTATTACAGGCATAGTCAGAACACTAGGGGAGTCCCATAGCATAGGAACAGGAGAGGGATTAGCCTTGGTGGCGAGGAGGCTTTCACGTATATAAATGAATAGATAGATGTAGTGGAAGTTCTCTCCTTAGAATTATTATTTACTACCATCGACCACATAGTTTCCCCAGCACTTGTCCCTCGAAACCGTGACACCCTGGTGTAGTTTGAGTGGCCTGGGCACCTACTCCACTTGGAAAGGAAACGCCTCATATCACATTTCGCGCGGAGAAAAGTTAGTGGATGACGGAGGCATATCCGGATAACTCAGTGTTTTTGAGACATTCCCCTTGATGGGTATTCACGGATGAGGGTTGACTTGGGCTGAAGAAAAAGCCGCCATAACTTTGCAGTGGTACTTGCATGTAAAATCTGAGGCATAAGTGCTCTAGTTTTGCGTTGAGTTATCTATTCTGTACTTTTTCTCTGGCATTGTGTCATAGCTAGATAGCTGCGTACGCAATTAAGAAATGATGCAAAAAAAAATTGGGCTGCAGGTTTACTGCTGTTAGCATCCTCTGCCTTCCACTTTTTAGCCGCCATGTCCCCAGTGCTTTTCTACACAGCACGGAATGGCCCATTGGGTATTCTCCGCCTGTCAGATTGGAGCGTAGACTTATTAGCTAAGGCGGAATTGGAGGGCGAGAAGAAGTCGTATGGACTGAAAAAGATGACTGAAGGTCTACTGGAGATAACTTGGAGGAACTAAAGGTTCGAAAGATGGGTAAAATAAATTTCTAAAAAGTCTAAAGATTCGAGTGGGTATCAATGGTAACTAAAGATACAATAGTTGACCAGAAATGATCCGAAGGTGGTGGTTATGACAGAAAACTAAGAGTATAGAGCTCTGTGTTTACAGACCAAGCCATCATATGTGTACCTGCCCTCCTTCCACTAGCACATTGTATCATAGACCTCAACCCGGTATCAACATGATACCATATGCCAAGAACTGTAGTGCTGTCATAGCAACATAGAAAGAATGGTAAAATTGTATACTGAAGGAAGGATTGGAAGAGGAATCCTTACACTACCACACTTAGAACTAATGATGGCTGTTGTTTCTTTGAAGCGACGGCAGTATTTTGCAAAGTCACCAGGTCAATATCGAGGGGCAATCATGCGAGCCAGGATCGCTAGTTCTGGCGGCTTTTGCGCTTTATTTTGAGTTCGAGGCCGACATATTGTTCAACATTGTTAAAAGTCACCAGTCCGTTGACAAACGAGCCGCAAGTTTGCCAGTAAAGCGTGCGGATGAGGCGAGGCTCAACTAATCATACGTTATCCTTGCTTTATCTAGTGTGTCAAGCTCTATTAAACCAAGCATATCTGCTAATTTCTTTCCCAGAAGCCCTAAGTTGTCTACCCCGTGCGTGTCTAATTTGCTACTGTTGTCAGTAAATGTTATATGGCCTATCTACGAGGATTAAACTGGTTTTGATGTCCGTGTTTGGAATAATAGTCATGTTCACATCAGTCTTCTCTGAATATCTTAAGCCCTCTTTTATCAGTAAATTTCAAAAAGTAGTGGTTTAGATTTCAGTACTAATTACTATGAATGGTCTATACGAGATCATACAGGTAGTTGAGGGCCAGTTTGTTCATATCCAGACCCATTATAAGATTGATTACCAGATGTATAGAGTTATCAATATTATCCGTAACGGGTGTAATCAGTCCCCCCCGTAAACATACATACTCTGTAGGGCACTTGGTCATTGGCTTCGCATGATTTCATCCCGGCCACAAATGACCCGGTGGAGTCGATAAGGATATAATTGGAGGGGTGATAATCTAGCAAAAAATTTAGCGGGCCACGAATGATGATGACAAAGATATGTAATTATGACCTTGTTCTGGATCGTAAGTTTGTCCTATAAAGTAACTGTAGAGAACTACTCTAGGAAAACGGGTAAAGGTGCCTTGTTCCAGTCGAGTAATAGATCGGACATTATTATGCGCCTCATCAACTTTCTGTTTGATAGTCTCTGCATTGTATAAGTTATTTGTTTGACACTTCATCCCGAATTTCGAGTTAAGAATAGGAATTTTTGGATAATATCCAAAGGTTTCATCATCATCAATCAAGTGAAATGAGACTGAAATGTCGACAAGGACCGCCACGGCAGCGATGGAGAAAATCTTCATTTTGCAGCGAGCCTGTGTCGATTGGCTCGGGAAGTAGCGGGCTGGATCAAAAGGGCTGCAGAGAGAGTGTGTCGAGTGGACGTGGATGGGAAGATGAAGAACACTGGCTTGGTGAAATCTGAGGAACAGCTAGTGAAAGCTTTATATATGTAAGATTTCAGACCAATAAACTTTTCCTACTTCTCTTTGTTGCCAGCTCGATCCGAATGGATTAATTGTCACGACTCGAAAAGTCAAGGCGCTATTCTGCTGAAGATTCCTCTCCATCAAGCAGTGGATTTCGGTTTTGTCGTATGAAAGCGCGCTTGCCAGGAACAAATCACCGGGAAGTCTCGTACAGGCATTAGGTTGTGCGGTTTCGGCCATGGAAGTGTAATAGAGTTCACCTATATTTTGTTGAAATATAATATATCTTGGAATGTCAAGAATACCTCATTTGTAAGTCTGGCTAATTACATGTAACGGCTGCTAAGCCTAAAGATTCCTGTAACCGACACTGGCTAGCGCAGGCATTGATACCAAGGGAATCTTCGGAGATCTTCGGGAAGGATCTTAGAATACACGGAGCTCAGAAGACTCTCAATGAACCTTCTTGAAGCACAATGAAGGTTCAAGAGGATGACAGGCGTATCGAGAATCTTCTAGGGAATTTTCGAAGAGTTCATATTGTCCTAGCCATAGGGGTAACCTTGTAGAAGGGGAGTATCTCAAAGTGAAAGTTCTTTTGTAGTCTAGCTGCAGTCATTCTCTCCTCAGAGAATTATAATTATTCGCATTAAATTCAAGATTGCCCATGCATTCTGTACTGAAGCCGCAACATAAGACTTTCAAACTCCCTATCCCATTTTACTATTGTCAACATAATTCTCACTGAAAGTTTAATGCGCTATGTCATTTATTTAACAATACCATTCCATCGAATGACTGTATCTCAAATGCAGGTTAAAGGTTTCTCGGATCCATTATTGACACATATGTATTTAACTTTATTGTCAGGATTGCCTCCTGCATAATCTATACATGTGGATATAAGCAAAATCTAGTGTTTTATGGTTCTGGTCCGGCCTTTTGGCTGAGTGGTCATGGACCTATCTCATGCATAATGTAGGATGGCACCCTCTAGCCTGAATATCACCTCTTTGATCCATGTCTCCGCCCTGCAGTCCACATGCTGCTCTGACATTTAAATTCCTGGCTTATATATGTATCTGTACATAGTTCTACAACCACAGGGATCATAACTTACGATCCACAGAGATTAATAAATACAGATCAAAAACCACATTTGATAAGATATGCAAGTACGAAACCTCATTTTTATCTTAGTTTAACTCGGAACCATACATCTCAATACAATTGTTTCCACTCAAATCTTCCTTCTACAACCTCATATACAACTTACTGTATTGGTCTAACTGCGAACACTGATTCCGCCCTAACTTTCATCTTTGCTTAAGCTGTTGTGATCAGGCCCACTTATAGATCACACAACTTGAAATTGCTAGTACTAAGCAAGTGTAACTGACAGCACAAGTGATCTTGTGTCAATGGTACCTCGTCGACACACAGCAATGATAACACCAGTATCTCAGCCGTACATGATAATAAGATAGTTTGACGCAGGTATATCTAATGAAATAATCATTGAATGGCTGAATGGTTGGGAGTTGTTGCTATTGATGGTATATTTTGTGTATGTAACGGCTGGTAAGCCGATTGGTCCCTGTAGCCTATGTTGGTTAACTTGGGCCTGATTCGAGTGGCGTTATTAATGGCTACCAATGCGCTAATATGCGACGCCACCCAATACAATACTTTTGCGTCGGCATTTGCATGGTATTCACATGGCATCGGACTCGGCAGTGCGGCACTGTACCACATGTTGATAGGCTTACACTGACTGGGAATATACGAGACCGAGTACAATCCTTCCGGACCATAACGCGATAGTGCTGTATTACAGGCATAGTCAGAACACTAGGGGAGTCCCACAGCATAGGAACAGGAGAGGGATTAGCCTTGGTGGCGAGGAGGCTTTCACGTATATAAATGAATAGATAGATGTAGTGGAAGTTCTCTCCTTAGAATTATTATTTACTACCATCGACCACATAGTTGCCCCAGCACTTGTCCCTCGAAACCGTGACAGTGTACCGTCTTTGGGTATAAATACTCACTGCTAGACCTCTGTATATAATTAACCTTTTCCACTCTTATTTCCTATAGTCATCAAAATAGCAGATCTAAAATACTTATCCGTCTTCTTCACGTTAGACTTAGAGCGCTATCCTGTATCCACCCAAGTTGACTGTTACACCCACTGCAATAATTCCTAGACTTCTCATAACCTCGTTATTACAATAAAAGCTCATAACTTCATATTTGCCTTCGATTCTTACCGCACTCGTGATGCTTGCGTGGTAGGAAGTACTGAACGCACGCCGGCTCGGCCAGCTCTTTTTGAACATGAGGTTCAGAATTCATTAATAGCTCTATGATCTGATTTGAATACTTATCATGTCAGGCTTACACCTCACACCCAACAGGTATGATACAGATTGATTATCCCAAAGGACTCACTATAGCTTTATTACATTGTTTGCTCGATAAATTTACAGGCAGATAAAATATTGCTGATTCAATACAGTATACGCGCGTAAATATAAGGCAATAAAACGATTCAATAACATTCACCTATTATTCATTCAATCTTTGTGTTCTAATCCTCTTGGTGTCATGTAAGATTGCCGAGAGAACATTACGTAAGTTTTACTACTGTCATGATTGGTTAATACATATTCCACCTATTATTAGAGTGCGCATGACCACAATTCCAACACATATATAGAGATTAATTTCAAGAAAGTAAACGCCGTACGCCTTAAGATTAGATATTTATTATAGTCCTGACTGAGTCAATGACTAGGGAAGACTCCTAGAATCTATACATAAGAGACTGGCTACATTTCACAAAATTCCAATTTGAGAGCATTCAAACCCTGCGCCTTTAACACTTCCTCATAACGCTTGTCCTTGAGAATTATTACCCTTCAACAGAACTTAATCCTTCCAACCTAGGCTCTGCCCCTCACAACACCCTGTGATCCTTGGAAAATTGAGAAATTTTTTTCTTCCCTTTTCTGCCAGCATCTGCTATTTTCTCGGTGGTGGTCCTTGTTGGAACAATGGTCTCAAACTTACGTAATATGTCTTAAGCATTCCTACATGATACCAAAAGGGTTGGAACAGATAGAGAAAATATATGAAAGTATATTTAATTCTATTCTATTAAACCCGATTTGGCACCCTATGGGCTCATGCAAGCAGCTATGAACCTATCTATATATTTGCATCAGGGGAAGACCTTACGATAAAAACTACCTCCTCGTATCAAAATTTCTATTTGTATTCCTACATTACCTACAGTAGATGCAGTTGGCCTTAAGTCTGAGACAAGACTAGCTGATCATACCTCGCCATCTTTACCCTGCCCTCGCGTGCTGAAAAGAGACGAATCTGGTCTTGAACTTGACCCCGATGGTCCAAATACTTGTGGTGGTGGGTTGACCAGGAGCTGTTTGCGCGTGCGTCCCAGCCCTCTCTTGAGTACCTCTGGCTTTTGGTTGGACACCAGTGTGAATCCTCTCCATGCATTATTGTCTCCAAAGGGACTCCTAAAATTTCAACAGGATAATCCTGCTTTAAGATGCAGAACTCCTTTGGTTGCGCCATTCTCAAAATGAAATTATATTTTATTTGTGTTCTTATAGTATCCCTATTTTGAATATTTCCTATTGCTTTTTTGGTTTACACGTGTGCGCCCTACTGTACCAATAGTTCTTGCTTCAAAATTCTCCATTGCTCTAGCGCTGTTCGAAATTCTGCAGAACGTCAGGAACGCTTCTCCCTTCCACAGTCGCTTTTTCAGATCACAAATTCATGGTCAAATATTTCATGTTTGTTCCTGAAATCGCCATGTGTTAAGGTTATGAGTTAATTGGGAACATAGTTACTTGGAATGTGTCACGATGTTTGTTCAGATGGTTTGGTACTTGGTAACTTGATTGCTGGCAGGTGTCTGATACTTTTCCGATACTATTCATGAGACAGAACATAGACTACTTATATACACTAATATGACCCTTGTCATTGTCTACGCTCTCTCTCCTGACTTACTGCCAACAGCGTGCCTGGGTAAAACTCTGCAGCTCATGAGTCCATCTCTCATGAGAGGCATCCGCTGTTCCGGTGGCTGGCGCGCGCGGTCCGAGTACACGTCGCTGCAATGCCTCAATCACTTATGTGTAATATCCCAGCTGAGCGATCCTGAACCTAGCTGTTCAGGAACGACAGCAATCCAGTCCATGGTTCGCGCCTGTGATTTGTATACACACTACAGCGTCGCTCCAATCGTTCCCATACAATGTCTCAGCTCCGCAGTCCTTAGTCCATTACTCAGGAGCGGAAGCAGTTGTATAGTTCCGATAGTGCGCTAGGTCTGCATGTACCTCTGAGCGCTATCCCGTAATTGCCCGGCAATACCTAACCGCTCACGGCTAGCGTGTGTGATCAATAGACCCTTCACGTCGCTACCCCAATCGTTTCCTTGCAATGACTCAACCCGGCGCTCCCAAATCCGAGACTCAGGAGCGGCAGCGGTTGTATCCATGGTCAACGCACAATGTGCATATGCACCTGTCGGCGCAGAGCCGGTCATGGACGAGCGAAAGCACAACACCATGGCCTATTCTCGCTGCCATCAGGGAGTGGTGGGTCCATCTTAGAAGTGCTGACTCTGGTTGACGTTTCCGTTCCATTTGTAGATCTAGTTCTTTGTAGTGATGAGGTCTTTTCTGCAGTCGCCAGGACTCCTCCGCTTCTTCGCATCTTTATCTATTTATCCTAATATTTCTCACACCCATCTCAGATATCTGCCTTCCCGAGTTATGTGCTAAAATTTGTTTCCACTGCCAGATACAAATATAGTAACGGGCGTGTAT